TCCCTCCCCCCCACCCTCTCCCCCTGCCCAAATATCAGCAGTAATATAGCAAGATGAATGTTATTAGATGAAAATATTTATTTCAGCCATGACACAAACCTCAGAAGTCAGGTGCTGAAGTCTGGAAAGCAATTTTATTCAGGACAGTCCTTTCACACATACACACAACTTCAGTCCTGTTGAAGTTTTGTGAGACCATTTGTATGTGCTTAAGCCAGTGGTGCTAAATCTTTGGGCCACATGAGCCAGATGAATAGCATGGGGCTGGTCTGCAGGCCTGACTGGGTCTTGCCCACCAGGATTGGGCCCTGCACTGCCCCTCCCCCCACACACACTCCAGATTGACCCTGTGCACGTGTATTGAGTCCCAAACAGGTCCTTTATGCCCAATCTGGTCCTTTATGTGGCCCACGGAGCTCCCACAGGCCCTGAAATTTGGCAGCAGGGGAGCAGCTACCATGCGGATCCATGGAGAGCTTTGCAGGCTAGATGAGAGCTCCGTGACTTGGATCTGATCGGATCTGTGGGCCAAGGGCTGAACACCCTGGCTTAAGCAAAATGACACAATGGAGAAACTCTGGCTAACAGCAAGAGCAGAGGATCATTAGCATACAAAACTTTTATCATGCAAAACTTTTATCATGCATTTAGCCCTTTTGTTAAAAGTTGAAGGGGCATCGTGAACCCAAAATATAATAAGTTCCAGCGATGGTTGACATGCTAAGGCCCTCAGGCTTACATTAAGGTTTTTAGGTGTTCTTTCCCCTACTGCCAAGAGATATGTTTGTCTCAGCGTGGAACATCCCCTGCCCTGATCTCTTGGCCCTGCCTACTAGTGCAGCCCACTCTACAACATTGGGTTCTTCTGTAAAGCCCCATTTCTGGACCTTTGCAATTAAGGTTTGTATTTACAAATAACAAAACCCGACCCTCGCAGAGGGGGATTAAAGCTGGGAAAAGTAGCCACATGCCCCATTAGTTCAAAAGGTCCTGCATTTGGCATGGGGAAGGGAAAGGATGCATGCCCCCCTGCTACAACCCGCACACAAGGTCTGGTGTCCAAGTTTCTAGATTTTGAAGCCCAGCCTGTGGTCTATGAGGCCCACGTGTCCTGCAGGCTGTATCTGAACCGACAGTATGCAGAAGCCTTGTCCCGCACAGGCCACAGAACTAAGAGGAAAAGGGGGAGGGACACGGAGTCAGCTGCCTGCCTCCCCGCTGAGCAACACAATGGTCACTGCTGCCGCCAGCTGCAGGCATTGCCCTGGGGCACCTCCCATCTCTCAGAGCTCACGCCCTGCTGAGCCCCAAGGAGGGACTGGCCGTGCCATAGTCACAGAGCTCCTGCCTGCCCATATTTCAGGGTAAGGGCAGGGGCAGGGTCTGATCTTGCTGCTGAAGCACTCCAGTGGGGAGCAACGCAACACCCTGCATGCCTGCAGGATCCTTGCAGCTGCAGCACCTCTGAATGTGCTGGAGCCAATGCCACTGTGCCCTCTCCATAGATCCCAGCACTGCTCTCAGCCCCGACTCCCTGCAGCTCCCAAGGACAGTGACTGCAGACCACTAAAGAACTAAAATGTGGCATTTCCAAATTCCTCACACTATTGAACTGCTGTGTGGGGAAGATACAACAGAACCCTGTGCTCTTCCCCACGAATGCTGACGGGGAGCTTGGCCTGTCCTCCAAGACTTAAATAAAAACCTCACACATTTTATTTATTTCATGTTTAATGTTTATCAATTCAAACCGTTTCTCCCACAGACAGGAGAGAACAATGCTTCAGATACAGGAAGTACTGCTACTGCACTGGCAGAAGGAAGAAGTACTTCGCAATATTTCAGATTTTTTAGAAGCTCGGCTACCCAAACCTGCAATCTGTTAAGTGCATATCTTCACATGCAACAGTGGGACAGAGAGGCTGTACCCACAGCTGGTAAGTCTTATTCCTCAGTTAGAAGCAATACAGGTTGATACAGCGCACAGAAAAATCCCAAGTGGAAAATGCTGGCAAACTAAGCAGCAGCTTCCAAATACTTTTCCTCCGAGTAGTGGTTCTCAAACTTTTTAGTCTCAAGGCACCCTTTAATAGACTCAAGGCACGTCTTGGAAAAAGCCAACTCTTAAGTTTTCACTCATTTTTTTCATTACAGAAAAATAATAGAGCAATTATTCGGTTGCAAAAAACTTAAGCCACAACAGCTCAGAATCTCTGGGTTTATCTTGTGAATCATGTTTTCACACTTAACATCAGTAACTATACAGCACCCTTGAAAATCAGCACTCTGGTTGAGAATCACTGCCTTTGAGAAAGTCCCAACATCACAATTCCAAGCAAAGGGGAGAGAGAAAAGGAAAATGAAAACAGTTTTTCCAGTCAAGTTAAAAAAATAATTTTATTACTTGGATACATGATCAGTTTACTCACAGGATTTCAATGCCTTATTTAGGATGAGGCATTTCAGAAGATAAGAAACATATTAATGTACAGAGGTGGACTCAAAGGGAAGTATTCCTGTGATGTCACCAAGGTGAGAGCCAATTCTAGGTAGGACAAGACTGACAATTATTTGCTTAGGGTCAAAGGTTGAGACAAGCAGCTTGGACTCAGTCCAACCTAACAGATGTTCAGGCTGCAAGCCTGATTTACATTCACAGTTGCCTAAATATAAGTAGCATCTGCATAAGTGAACAGATGCACACATGGTCCCTTGGAAAGGAAACTGGTAATTGCAAATTAATCTTCACATATGAACTTCTGTGAAAAAGGAAATGTATCACCTCTGCAAATCCCAGCATTCCATCTGACAGGCAGACTTTCTTGCCATCTTCCTGAAATTGCTGCCACACTATTTAGTAAGCTCCAACACACAAGTTCACAAGCTTTCTCCAGAAATGAGTCTTCAATTATACATTGAGCCCTGATAAAGGTACAAGAGACAGCTAACAGGACTCTCATGGACCTTCATCCCTGTTTTTCCACGTACAGGGAGTGAAGAAGCTTTCTGAAGTGCCTACGCACACTTCCAAACACATATTCATATAGCAGATCTCAGACTGGAAGAGGCAGGACCCATCACTCCACAGGGACTGAGCTAATCCAAGGCCCAGGCATACAGAGCCCTTGCCTGCCACTAAGGTGTCTTTCTGACAAGGCAGGGATAGGTGACTTAAAGTGCATCTTTCCACCCAATAGGAACAAAATGGAACCCCCCCAAGAGTAATAAATGCTAAACTTGCTAGAAGGGAACAACTTAGTGACCTTGGCCATGTGTCTGGGATTTTTATACCAGCTATGGATAATGACCTGCTGAATAAGAAGCTATTTAGGAAACAGTCTTTAAAAAAAGGTAGTTTTCTTCCTTTTGTATGACAAACAGAACTATTAGGTCAATAAATGGCAGATCAGAACAAAAGTTATTAGCATTTTCCTCCAACTCCTTGGTACTGAAGTGTCTTAGCATGGAAGTCCACTGACCATTTGCTCTTCCAATAGAGACAGATTTGAAACCCCATTGTGCCTGTGAACTATTCTGACTTTTAAGAAACAGGAATTTGTTTTTTTGTCCAGCTTGGTCTCTTGCTAGGAAGCATCCAGAAAAATTCTGAGCAAATTTGACCCTGCCAGCTGAGACAGGTGTTCTGCAAAAGAAATTAAAGATGCCCCTTTGGCCAATGGAAACTAACCACAACTCATCCTTCTGTAGCAGAGCATATTTTTTCTGGTACAGCATCCATTGCCAGCAATGAATACAGGAAGTATGGTCATCTCAGCTCACACAATCTGGGAAGCTGCTGGAAGACTGGAAGCACTTATTTATATCACTGCAATGCACAACCAGAAAAATCCCACTTCAGCTCTACTGAGCGTTCTTGCCAGATGCTGTGAAAAGGAACTCAGCTTAGGAGTGAAGTATCGAATCTAGTTCCACTGATTTTCTCTGCCCTTGCCAGGTGTTTTCAGAATGTACTTTCGAGCAGGCAGTGGCACCCACAGCCAGTGGGACACACCTCCTGGGTGCGAAACCATTCCATCATGTGACTGGTGTGTCCCCCATGTCCACAGGTCAAGCAGAAATTGGAGGAGCCTCGCACTGCCACATGGCAGATAGCACACTGGAAAGTGAAGCCCTTGCAGATGGCACACTGGGTGCCCCGCACTTCACTGCGGCAGTGACTGCAGTACACCCCAAACTCTGGCAACAGGAGAAAGGAAGAAGAAGAAAAGGAGAGTAACAGTTAGCATAAGAGTTCTCAATTCTCTGTCTATTCCAAGGGCAGGAACAAGGAGTGCCTCTTTTTTCCCCCTCCAAAGCCCTATTCATTGGTCTTGGACCTGACCTGGAAAAAATACCCCTCAGAGTAAAGGAAGACAGGATTTTTACAAGGTACTTTTCCTTCCTTTGCTTTTCTGCAGAGGTTATCCACATGGGAAATAATCAGTGTTAATTAGGACAAGACATCAATGCACTAGGAACTGGCTTGAGCCCCACAAACTCCATTAACAGAAGTTATCTTAACAGCTGCTAAGGAAGTAGAGAGTTTCACCAATTATGAAGTTGGGACAAATTGAGACACTGTAAAGATGAGAGATTCCCTTTGGCATCCTCTGTCCCACAGTTCTAAAGTACAAGTAAGAAAGAACAAATGGGATGTGTCTGTTTCTTGCTGTGGCGTTGGCTAAACACACACAGATTACAAAAAATTAATGCTCAGCATGTGAATGTGGCCCACCAGCAGCCAAACAGGGCAAGGTGCTGGCTTTTATTCCAGTTCCCTCCCTTGGAGGAGATTCCAGCACATTTCAGGTTGCTCTTATCCTCCAGCCCAAGATCAAGGTAAGGGGGCAAGATGAACCTCCTTACAGCAGCTGCTCATTTTTCTGGAATCACTTTAGCCCAGAAATCCAGTACATCTTTTCCAGAAGCCAAATGAGAAGAAACTGCAAATGCAGTCTTTTCTAGGCAATACTACTAGGCACAAATCTAGGGAGAATGATCTCTTCATACCATGGCTGGGTGGGTTACCTCTGCTGCTAGATTCAAGGTTTTTGTGATTCTCTCCTCTACACCTTCCAGGAACCTTTTTCAGTCCACAGTCAAAGATAACTAATCGCCCCATATTTATTCTCTGATTTACAGGTATGGAGGAATATCTTTCTAAACAATCAATTGGATATCGCTATGTAGCAGTAAAGCATTTCCAGAGAGGAAGGCTTCTCCATCCTATCTACAATGCTACTGAGCCAAGATCCAAATATCCCACCTCCATCCCAAACAGCTGAATGCTCAATACCATTTGATGCCAATGCCAACTTTCAACAGGCTTTAATGGATATATCTTATATCAGTGGTGCTCAGCCTTATGGCCCAACTGGTTGGATAAGTGGTATGGCATGGGTTTGATACATGGGGTCAGTGTGTAGGTGCTATCTGGCATGCCAGTCCAAACCCACGCACCAGGTCCAGCCAGAGTGGCCTTGCGTATCGACTCCACTGTGAGCTGCTGATTTAGCTTGCACACCCAAATCTTCTGGCCTGTGGGACTCTCCATGGGCCCAAAAATCTGGCAGCAAGGGCATGGCAATTAATGTTAGTACTGCTCCCCCACCACCTAAATTTTGGACCCAGGGGGAGACTCAAAGGCTGGATGACATAGCCTTGTGTGCTGTAGATTGAGCAGCACTGTTTTAGATCATCAGGCCTGTTGAATACTTACCCCCCACACCCTTGAGGTAGAATAACAACACTAAAGCAACAGCAAAAAGAAGCAAAAATACACACTCACCAATTCCCTTGTGAGGGTCTGGGGGACAAGAGACAAACTTTAGAACTTCAGCTCGCTTTTCTCGCAGACCCCAGCGATAAAGGATTTCTCCATAGCATTTCTTGAAGTCATCAAACTGCTGAGCGTTGGCAGGGTCCAGGAGCCTGGAGGAAACAATCTAAATGGTCAGGTGCTTGATTTGCTTATTTTCAGGGGCTGCGGCTGCAATTCTTACCCCAGATCCATGTCAGCCGCTAGGCCAGTGGTTCTCAACCTTTTTATTAGCCTCAAGGTACCCCTCAGAAAATGCCGGGTCTTAGCTTTCACTCTTTTTTGACTACAGAAAAAAAAGAGCCATTCTTCTGTTGCAAAGAACTAAGAAAGACTACAACAGGTCAGAATGTTTTTGACACTATGGATTCCTATGTGAAAACTGTGGGTTTAATTTTGTGAATCATGCGTAGGCATTGCTAATATTGCACTGCATCCTGCGACATCCTTAAAAGGATCTCATGGACTGAGAATTACTGGATTAGGTAGGGAGTTCTGAGAAAATTAAAGGAGCAACAGATTATTCTGGCTTCCTGGACAGAACTGTATGCATTTTAGCAACAATGTAGTGGTAAGACTAGGTGAGCTGCCTCCATTTGTCATCCACATTGGTTTGTGCTGGAGGTAAGTGTTCTTTTTTGGGGGTCTGACTGTAGCTGACTTGCAGTCAGTCACAGCAGAATTTGTTTGGAGCATTACACTTTTACAAGACACTAACTGAATGGAAATTGTTTGGAATAAAGGAGTGGGAGCTTTCTTTTAGAACAGCAGAGACTTCCAGCTGATTCTCTGATAACCTTCCTAGGTAAGACACTAAGCTCCAAACACCAGCTACTGAAATGGAAGATGCCGTGCGTTACCTTTTGTTTTTTTCATGTTGATCTTTCTCACGCTCTCGATGGTCAGTGTATGTTAAGTTTCCGAAGCGGAAGTCTTCAGGGGAAGACTCACACCAGGGAGTGGATGAATGCTCTGACTCTTTGCTTGCTGTAAAAGTCAAAAGCAGGTTAGTTTGCTCAGGGAGGTGTGACAATAACGAGCTGTAAGCAAAGCTGTGCCATGTTTGCAAGGCAGGGAGCAGAGATTCAAAAGTCCACAAGAAATATTCACAATTCCCTCCATCACAAACCCTACCACAGATCAGGAAGCTAAGAGACTAACACTTAATTTGTCCTCAGCCACCTAAAAGCTTTCACTGAGCAACCAACACAAGATATTATGCAACAGTTTGGGGGGCAGCAGCCCATATAGTATAAAAAAAAATCTGGATTCAAAGGGCTATATTTTGCCTTAATTTCATTTAAGTTATTGAGAACATTGCATAGGAAGTGTGTACAGCTGTGTGTTTATTTACATCAGTGGGCCAGGATTCTATTCCCAAGGGGCTGGGAGCAGGGAGGATTTCTTTTTTCCACACTAGCCAGCTAATGATGCTGGTGTGAAAAAAAGATCTCAAGGAAAAATCTTTAAGGCTGATCCCAGATATGTACATGATCTGGAAGTATAGAAATAAGATAGCATCGATTAGGGCTGTGCGAAATGGCTGTTTCATTTTGGTTTCAGATTTGGCTGTTTCGGAGGGACAGCAATTCCTTTTGGTGTTTCGGATCACATTTCCATTTCAATTTGGCCATATCTGCCTGGAGTTTCAACGCTGTTTTGGTGCTGATTTGGAGATTCGGATCAGCTGGGGAGAGGTAGGCACAGCTGGGCAGCTGCAAGTTCTCCTGTGGCTCCTCTGACTGTGCCTGCCTCTCCCAGGGTGAGGGGGGGAGCCATGGGAGAAGCTCCCATGGCTGCCCTGCCCAGTCCCAACCCCTGCCCGGCCACAGCCTCCCAGCACTTAGGAAAAAAAAAAAAACAAAAACCATACTCACCAGCTGTAGCAGCGGTGATCAGGGCCTCCAAGGGCTCGTGGAAGAGCCCCCCCCGTGCAGCGCGGGGAAGCAGGGATCGCCCCCCCTCCTCCCTGGCACCCATGTGGCAGCTGCCTCATGATGCAGGTGCAGTGTGGCTTGGCAGGGTGCTGCCTGGGAGCTGGGGCTGTCAGGGCTGAGTTGTGCCAGGCTCTGGCTGACTGCTAGAGCTGCCCCACCTCCCAGATAGTGTGTGGTGCCCTGCTGAGCTGTGCTGCACCTGTGCGATGAGACAGCTGCCACATGGGTGTCAAAGAGAGGGGGAGCGATCCCTGCTGCCCTGCATTGGGGTTGGGGCTGGGAGCCCCAACCTGGGTAGCCATGGGGGCTTCTCCTATGGTTCTCCCCATCCAGGGAGAGGCAGGCACAGCCAGAGAAGCCACAGGAGAACTTGCAGCCGCCCAGCTGTGCCTGCCTCTCCCCAGTCTATCTGAATCTTTTCAGAACTGATTCAGAGGCTTCGGATTCCATTCAGACCTTTTAATGGGTCTCCTGATTCGATTCCGGCGCCAAATCTCCTCTGAGTCGAATCGGCGACCAAAGCTTCACACAGTCCTAATGCTGATAACTTCTGCACGTAAATATTAGTTCCAAATCCTTGTCTCTGCTCCCTTCTTCATTCCATAAATACCCACAAACAGCACTTAGTGGTTACAGTTTTGTTACCTTTAGGGCCCAATATTGTGTCAAGCCAGATATGTTAGGCTTGGGACAAGCATTACAAAAGCCAGTTTAAGTAATCAGAAACTGGTTTAAGCCTGTAACAGAACAGATATTCAGGGCATATAAACCAGTTTGAAAATGGCTGAAACCAGTTCGAGACAAACCTAGTTGAATGTAGTATCAGACTTAAATGATTTGGCTCAAACTGGTTTATGCAATGTCGGTCCAAGACCCCTTGCCGATTTAAGATAAACCGGACACCCCCAGCATCCCAGCATGCTCTGTGGTCTGGGTGGGGCTCTCTGCTCCACAGCAGAGCTGGCCCCTCCCCTCTGCTCCCAGGCTGCAGTAAAGACTGCAGGAACAGCAGGGTCTGCCTGGCATACCCCTGCCCTCTGCTTCCCGCTGCTGCCGTCTCCCCCGCTCCCATCTCTCACAGTATGGACCCCAGCCCCATGGCCACTAGACACGTGGTATGCTAGCCAATGCTTACATGCTAGTGTTTCTGTGCATGTCTCTTCAATTTCACTGGGACAGGCAGATAGCACAGTGACCTCCACTTAGGGCTATTTGGACCTAATCAACAGGTCAGCAGGTAAGTTGCTTAAGAAGAATTTGAAGTAATGAAGAGAGCCTATTGTTTTGCTGATGAGGTGATAATCACTGTTATAAGTCCCCTGCAGGCTTGCTCACCTGTCAGTTTGCTGCAGACAGTATAAAGCAGCAGGGAGAGGGAGACTGCAAAGCTCCATATCATCAACAGATCCCCCCTTGCCTCAGAGTGCTAGCAGTGGGTTGGGGGCTGGCAACACTCCCCCCCTTGAGCAGCCAGCGGGGAAAAGCCTGAAAAATCTGGCACTCAAGTTTGATTCTGGGTGCATGAAGACCTGCCACTGGCTTGTGAGAACTCTCTCAAATATAGTGCAAGTGGCTGTAACATGACTGAAAAGCATTACGCTGTTGTAGAAAGTACCTTTATGACACCTAGTATTTATATTACCAGTATTTATGCCACCAGTGTTCCAACCTTTCAAACTTCTACCATTCAAGCTCAGCCATCACACAGACAAAGGAAGAGAAAGCAGAGAGAACAAAAAGAATACTTTGCAAAAGCCCCTTCAGCAAATAGCTGAAATGTTCTAACTGGTAAAGACTGTGCTATAGTGCATGGAACAAATGGCCTCAGACAGTACAAATGGTACAGTTCACCTCACTCAGAGTAGTGACAAGGCAGTGGCACCTAGTCTGTCATAGCCAGGAGAGAAAAAATAAAATAATCACCAGCTACCATTTATGTGATCTTAGGCACAAACCCCTTAGGATATCTGGAGAGATGTGAAATGTATTTGTAGTCAAGTCCATAAGAGCTTTAGAGGGCTTTGGGAAAGGTTTACTTTATCAGACAAAGCAGGTGACCTTGATTTTTCACCCAAAATTTAGACATACTACTTGTGTCTGCATCAAACAGTCACTAATAAAGGTCCATCACACAACCCTTTTTCCACAGGGAGAGACAGACAGCCAAAATGTCAGCTGTCTTTGGCTCTGAGTTGATCTGCTATCCCATGGTCTGACACTGAACCCTACAAGCAACTACTCGAGCTCTCCATACCTATGTTCCAGCCTCCAGTGCCAAGTCCAGGATCTGACATGCTGGAACAGGAGCCTGAGGAGGTAAAGCTGGGCTGTCGAATAGAAAAGAGAAGTCATATCATGTACATCACAAGGATATTCAATACTTTAAAGAAAAGCAATCAGAAAGGAATGGCTGTCCATACATATCGGCTGTGGGAGACCATGTTGCAAGAGCGCTGAGGGAAGGGTGCACATGAATTTGGACATCCCTGCAGTCTGGACTGGGCCTCAAACACACTGCACAGCATAGCCAATGTCTGCACATCATGGAGCTGAGAGTAATGAGCCAGCCTGTAAGGATGAGAGGCAGCAGGGTTAAATGGCAAAAAATTCACAGCAGTTCAGGACCTGGGAAGCCCTCTCGAACCAACTTTAAGACCTCCTGGATGAACAAACTTTGGCATATATTGTTACTACGGTGTGTAGGTGGTCTGGGGAGTTCCTTTTCATGGCAATTTTATTGTAACTTTTTTATAAATAAAAGGAGCTCCCAGTTTGTTGGCATGCAATTGTGGCCTGTTTCCCAGGAGACAGGTTTTTTTGTCTGCTTGTCTAATCCTCTATACTGTTGGAAAGTTGCAGAGGAAACATACTGGCATTCACTGGTCCCAGGAGATCATATCTGCATCATCTCCAAAGAGAAGTTATACAGAAGCAAAGTGAAGTTGGAACAAATATAGAGCCATTAGACTTCCTGGTCTATCATTAAAAAAAAAAAAAAAAATTGTCAAGTCACTTAGAAGCTTCCAAATTCCATAGTCCTAGATCCTTTCCTAGGTTTGTGAGGCAGGGACTCCTGGAGTCTGAATGGATACCTGAAATAAAAGTTTTATTTCTAAAGTGATTTTGTTTGTAGGGAAGTTTGGAGTGGATGGGAGGAAAGCTACCCCTTCTCTCCCCACAGACTTACCTGCAGGGCAGTGTGGGGAGAGGGGTAGATCTTGGGTTCCTTTTAAATTCCAAAGGTGATCTCCGACTTAAAAAAGTTGGAGACGACTGATCTAAC